TTGAGAGAATGTTCTTTCCTTTTGTTACAYTTMSTTAAACACCAAAACCCAGCTATTTWCTRTCTCAAAATAGCTGTAACTCAGTCTGCCACAGCCTACTGMGCTGTGCAAACTAAAGGCAAGCTGCCTATTCTAAACAGAGACTCCTAAACAATCCAACTCCTACTCTAATCTCTCTCTCAGAACTAAAACTGCTCTCTACTCTACTCAGAACTCAGCTGAACTAAAAACTGAACTGTCAAAACTATCTCTTCTCTTTCCCTCCATCTGGCTAACTCCGCCCCTATTCTCTAAACCAATCCTGGCTGTTGCTGTGCTGGCACAGGCCTCAGCCACTCCCCCTCTCTGAACTGGAGCTTTTCCCTAAACTAAGATGGCTCCAGCAGTTCTCTGCCAGGTCTTCTAGCTGAAACTACCTAGCCTGTCTCTTCCTGGGCCCTGCCACCCTGGCTGGCAAGGTAAGGGATCTTTACATCTAGATCCAGGAAAGTCATGCTACCCCTCAATTTAGCCTTGACCAGACCACATCTGAAATACTGTGTCCAATTCTGGGCACCACAATTGAAGGGAGATGTTGACAAGCTGGAATGTGTCCAGAGGAGGGCGACTAAAATGATCAATGGTCTTGAGAACAAACCCTACGAGGAGAGGCTTAAAGAGCTGGGCATGTTTAGCCTTTAGAAGAGAAGGGTGAGAGGAGACATGATGGTCATGTATAAATATGTGAGGGGAAGTCACAGGGAGGAGGGAGCAAGCTTATTTTCTGCTGCCCTGGAGACTATGACGAGGAATGATAGCTTCAAACTACAGGAAAGAGATTCCACCTGAACATTAGGAAGAACTTCCTAACTATGAGAGCTGTTCAACAGGTGAAGTCTGTGTGGAGGCTCCTTCTTTGTATGCTTTTAAACAGAGGCTGGATGGTCACCTGTCAGGGTGCTTTGAATGTGATTTTCCTGCTTCTTGGCAGGGGGTTGGACTGGATGGCCCATGCAGTCACTTCCAACTCAATGATTCTATGATCCTATGTAACACAAAATATTGATTGTCTTCTAGGAGGTCTCAGAAATTGATCTGAAAAGCCAAGTGGTGGCTCTCAAATTTTCATGATGATTTCAAAATACTGGGATACATACAACCTCAATCCTAACTAGAGCAGATTCACTGAAGTGAATGGGACCTGATAGTCATACATTACTGTAGTCATTTTCAACAATTTCAGTGGATCTAATCTAGGGAGAAAGGGCCTCCTGGTGGTGTAGCTGGTTAAACCGCTGAGCTGGTGAACTTGCTGACTGAAAGGTTGGTGGTTCAAATCCAAGGAGTGGGTGAGCTCCCGCCGTTAAAAATATAAATGAAAGATTTTCATAAAATATGTTGTGCCCCCATACATTTCACCATTACAATTTAGGTATGTGTCAGTTTCTCTTATAAGGGAATGGTTTGACGTCTGGTTGGCTAGTAAAACTGAATTACCATAATGCAAAATGATGCATGTTTAAAAAGTATGTGTCCAACATAAAATGTTGGGAAAGCTTTGCTTTAGCCCACTGTTACCATTCGCAGTGTTAAAGTATATGCTGTGCAAAAGTGGTTCATGGCCTAAGCAGGAAAATTTCTTGCCATTTCCCCATTTTAAACGGAAGCCTACTCCAGCCTTGTGAGTGTCTATTCATTCTCTAAACTCAGCAATGAAATACTGGACAAATGGGGGAAAAGGGGATTCAGAATGAAAAGCAAATGAAACAATTAAAGTCTTGATTTTCAATTAATCCTTTCTCTTTCCATGTGTCTCTATATCTTTGAATGGTGCGAAAGCCAATGTGGTGCAGGGGTTTGACTGTTGAACTAGGACTCTGACAGACCAAGGTTTGAAACTCACTGGGTGACCCTGGCCAACTCAGTCTCTCTCTCAGGGTGCTTCTACATTGTAGAATTAATGCAATTTTATATCACTTTAACTGCCATGGTTCAATGCTGAAGAATCACGGATGTCTTAGTTTGGTGAGGCATCAGCAATCTTTGGCAGAGAAAGCTACAGACCTTGTGGTGGAAAATCTCCCCTGAGTAAATATTGCAAAGAAAACCTTAGAATAGAGTTGACTCGTGACACATAACAACAGCAATTCCTAATTTAACATCTTGTAATGGATGTTATTGGCAAACGTATCAAAACAGATGTATTACCTGAGAGAGAGCATGGCCCATTAGTTTTTAAAAGGATCCAGAACCACCGATGGAAGGCTGAAAAAGCTTGTATATTCAAGCATGGCTAAGAAATTCAAATGTGCATTATAGTGGCAGCTAAAAGTCTTGCCTCCCCTGAGGCTTTTCTCTTCCACTCTGAAAGTAACCCACCAGCACGCAAACAAGGATTTTGCCTTTCATGAGTTTCCCTGGGGACAGAAGAGTGTGGCTGGTATACAAAAAAAATCCACAATAACGTTTGCAATTTGTACTTACTGACTTGCAGAAGGAATATTAGTTATGAATTTTAAAGCAAGAATAACAAAAGATTTCTATTGCTAATAAAAAGTTTTCCTTTTGTTATTTTATTGTATTAAAATGATAATTTATGAGATCCCCTCACAAATAAAATAGACCAGACAGCAGATTGATCCACTAGTGCTCAGTCACTTAGCAAAGGAATGCAATTAAAAAAAATTATATGTTTCTAGTGGGAGCATTTACTTTCAGAGGGTTTGCCATTGCCTTCTTCCGGGGCTGAGAAGAGATTTGAACCTGTAACTCCAGAGTCATAGCCTGAAACCACTACACCATGCTGATTCTCCAAACATGACTGAACACCTAGAAATCAATTCCCTAAAAGTGATTTTTTTGTTTGATCGATGAACTTAATGGTCTATTGACAATTATTACATGGGAAAAAACCTTTGTTTCCAGATGGATAGCTACAAGCATTACAGTTCAAAAGGCTTATGACTCTGCTCTTACGGCCTTAATGGATTTGAAAAAAGTAGTAGTGGGAATGCAATGGAAGAATTACAAATGGAACATCTTGTCTAGAATCTCCTGTAAAATTCCATGAAAACAGCAGGGTTTCGGCATGATAAAAGCACTCCAAGGCTTCTCATTGTTTTCTGAGAAGGAACTGATTATCAGCAATTGTCTAAACTACGTATTAAACAATGATTTTCTATGGCATAACAAACTTGTAACATTATGAAATTATGAAGAAGGGGAGCTGGGCTGGAGCTGAACATCAACTATTCCATAGTGAGGCTTTTTACACATTATAGAATACAGTGTTATGATTTTTTTCATAAAACTTATGGCAGCATTTAAATTTGTTTACTAGTTTAGTCGCTACTGACTCTTTGTGACCTAAAAAAGCAGCCCACACCACAGCTCCCTGTCAGCCATTGCCACCACCAGCTCCTTCAAGGTCAAGCCAATCACTTCAAGGAAACTATCCATCCATCTTGCCCTTGGTCTGCTCCTCTTCCTTTTGACTTCCATTTCCCCCATTATCATTATCTTCTCCAAGCTTTCCTGTTTTCTCATTATGTGACCAAATCTTTGCCTCTAATATCGTTCCCTCCAGAGGATGAGAGACAGGGCCTTCTCAGTGGTGGCCCCTTGGCTGTGGAACTCCCTCTCTATTAGATCAGCCCCCTCCCTCCTGACTTTCCGAAAAAAGTAAAAACCTGGCTCTTTGAAGAAACTTTTGGAAATGCAGTGTAACAGATAAACATGGAACTATGAAAGAAGGAAACATGGAATGGCTTAGATCAGGGGTCCTCAAACTAAGGCCCGGGGGCCAGATGCGGCCCTCCAAGGTCATTTACCTGGCCCTTGCTCAGGCTCAACCTAAGTCTGAAACAACTTGAAAGCACACAACAACAATCCAATCTCATCAGCCAAAAGCAGGCCCACACTTTCCACTCAAATACTAATAAGTTTATATTTGTTAAAACTGTTCTTCATTTAATTATTCTATTGTTTTTAAGTGTTTTTTGTACTACAAATAAGATGTGTGCAGTGTGCATAAGAATTCATTCATGTTTTGTTTTGTTTTCAAATTATAATCCGGCCCTCCAACAGTTTGATGGGCTGTGACCTGGCCCTCGGTTTAAAAAGTTTGTGGACCCCTGGCTTAGATGATGCTACTGGAAAATGAGATTAACAGGAAGACATTGGCAATGATGTTTTTTTTGGTATGGATTTTTATAATGATTTTCTAAATGTTTTAATTGTATCGATGACTATTGTGGCATCAAATTGCTGCCAATTTGGAAGCCTCCTTGAGTCGCCTTCAGGCTGAGAAAGGCGGGATAGAAATACCGTAAAAAAAATTATTCATTTATTTATTTAGACCATTTATACCCCGTCCTTCTCAACCTCCGAAGAGGGACTCAGGGTGGCTTCCAAACAGGCAACAATTCACTGCCAAACATAATATAAAATATAGTAAAATACAATCATATACATTAAAATAGTTATAAAAACAGTTTCCCAGGTTATAAATAAATAAATAAATTTTCCTCCAACACCACAGTTCAATAGTGCCTATCTTCCTTCGCTCAGCCTTCTCCTTATGGTCTAGCTCTCACATCCATAGGTTACTACAGGGAATACCATTGCTTTAACTATGCAGACCTTCATTGCCAGTGTGATGTCTCTGCTCTTCACTATTTTATCATTTAAATACATTGAAATATTGAGCAAACTTGAAATTGTTCAATTTTAAATCATTTTTTTCTGTGTTTATTGCTAAAATTGTATGTTTCTTTTCCAAAAGAGGCCAATTCCTAATGTATTGCAATGGTTACTTCTGCAAGTACATCTAAATTATGGTTAAATTTGATACCTTTTCAACTTAGGTCATAATTCCTTCTTCCCACTTCTAAATTATGTATCAATCTTAGAACGTTTCAATATGCATCACACAATGTTTAATGAAATAACAGAAATATGCCTGTCTATTAGTGTTTCATCATCGAACTAAAAAAGTACAGTTTTAAGTCTGTGCGACTTACTTGTGCTGGATCCACATCATTCAGCATAACGATTGATGTGCAGTGATAGTCTAGAACCAGTCTCCAGAAATCTTTGACAGTATTTGGTAAAGGATGTTGTGTAACTATAAAAGCTGAAGGCTGTTTATAACTCTGTAAAACAATGGGAAGAATAATTCAGTTATTGTAGAAGCAATGCCAGGATTATAGCTATTCTAAGAAAACGCCTACAGCAGTAATGGCACCTAAACCTTAGGAGACACTCATAAATGGTGGGGTGCTGAATGACTCCAGAACTACATGTAAGGCAGACATCATGCAAGGAATCTACAGAATTTACTAGGATGTACTCTGGAATGTTTGTATAGGGTGACTAACAACGCAAATCAAAATCAAATAAACAAATATCAAATGTTTTCTGGAAGGGAGAGCTCCATGTTGCTGCTGGAGAACTTTCCCACATGTCCAAAAAAACATTTCCAAAGCCAGACAAGATCTTTTGACAAGTGAAGCAAAATTTGTCACAAATTTGCTTCTCTCTGCAATAATAAAGTTAGATTTTTATTATACTATAATAAAATAGATTTTAGTACCTAATGATTTATCAAAATTTTTATGACATCCAAATTCTACTGTCTAAGGAATTAGTCATACTGCGCCTAATGTTAGTAGTAGTTACGATTCCTAGACTCCAGGAAAACACCAGTAGCAGTTGCTCAACCAACACTCGAGTATCTATGGGAGCAGTTCTATTTTTGTTAGGCACGGGCAGGACTATTTGGAAGTTCTCCCTAAAGCACCAGATCATGAAAAACTTCTGACGCAGGGTAGGAATAGGTAGCTGTCATACTGGCCTTCCCCCTCATCAGGTGTGCCCTTGTTGTGCCCCCCAACACACATTTTTTAAAAAAACTTTTAAAACCTTCCTAAATCCCTAAGGTCTATGTGAGGCATTTTCACTATTTTAGAGCCTCCCTGGCCTTTTTAGGCCCATTAGCAGATCTTTTCCAACAGGAACTAATTTGAAAGGTAACATCTGATTTATTTCATGATTGAAAAAAGAACATTTACTACAGAGTTTCTCAACCTGGGGGTTGGGGTCCCTGGGGGGGGGTCACGAGGGGGTTTCAGGGGGTCGCCAAAGATATTTACATTATGACTCATAACGGTAGTAAAATGACAGTTATGAAGTAGCAACGAAAATAATTTTATGGTTGGGGGTCACCACTACACGAGGAACTGTATTAAGGGGTCACGGCATTAGGAAGGTTGAGAGCCACTGATCTACTGGGTTTAAGGCATCCCAGGGTCCTGCCAAAATTGCCCTACCACTCAATAGGTTACATGGAGTACATTTCTAATCATTCCCCATACTTTTTAAAACAATTCCCAAGAGCGATGCTGGGGTATTGATAGCTGATAATGTCCCTAATTTGCCAACCAAAGTGTGGCATCAAAGTAACTCCTCCCAGTCCAAAGAGAAGTTTCCTTCAACTCTTTATTACTATTTGGATAATGCTTAGAGAAAAGGACTGTTTTTATGGAAGACTGTTTAAAATGTCTTCATTCTTTTTCTGAAGTCTGCTTTCCTGGCATATGTGTATATATGTGTGACAGCTTTAATTACTATTGCTCTAAAATGTCAGAGATACTCTACAATCTCTACAGAGTGTAAAACATGTTTAAGTATCCATCTAGCGAAACCCTATTAGTGCTATTAAAACTTCCATAGCTGCATTTAATGGGTGTGTGTGTGTGTCTGCGTATGAAGAGGGAGAAGAATCCTTTAGGCAATGTTCCTTCCCTCAGAAATGAAGGGAGTGACTGTGGTAATGGCTGTACTATCTATGCCAACAGGCAAGTGTTTCCCTCCCTGTTAATTGCTATAAAAATTAGAAGGAAAAGAAACTAAAATATGGCTGTAAAGCTTATTATGCTGATTAGCTGCCTTAGTGCTATAATGGGCAACTCCTGTTCTATTTAGGCATTAGTACTCAAGCTTTAGATAAGAGATGTGCTGGCAGTTTTCATTTGTTAAAATGCCTTTACCACCGACTAGCCCTCTCAATAAAGCTTTTGGGCCTTAACAGTTATATATGTCAGATCTTAATGTGTTTTGAGAGTTTAAAGATTTGGGACTAAATCCAATTGTGAGCCTGAACCGCAGCAGACCCATTAAATCAATGGGACTTATGTAAGTGTTGACTTCACAGGTCTTATTCATTTCGTGGTTCTGCGGATAACAATTAAATTTGGCTCACAAGGGATTTTTTGGGGTGTGTGGGGAGGCTTTGGACATTTTTCAGACATAAATGTGAAAGATTTGATCTCCTTTGTGTTGAGTCTGCAGCTTGTGGTACAAGAACATTCCTCCGTAACTATTAACCTCAGGAGAAGAGCTTACATCCATCAGTGCGGCATTGATATAGTTACTGCTCTCCCCATCTATTGTGATGAGGAAAGGCAGGCATCTGTCTGGCGGAAGGACATCCATGCAGCGGTTCTTCTCATGATTCCGAGGTAAAAGTGCTATGCTGCAGTCCTCCACACGTAATGTGGGAGTCACCATATTCAGGGTCTAGAAGATTAGAATAAAATCAAAGTTAAAATGATGGAGAAGAGAGAACTGCAGTTAGGAAGGTAGCTGCGATCAATACATTTCTGACAAGCCAGATACTTTGTACTCTAGAGAGAGACAGGAAGGAGGGAAAGAGATAATATGGAGAGCGATGGTTGTGGTGTGTCGTGAGAAAGATTTCTTAGGACACTCTATAGTCTATCAATGGGCATTTTGCTTTGGCTGCATCTAGCCACTGTGTGATCAAAATAGTCACTTGCATAAGGCATTATAAGATAACTCCCTATGCAACCTTGGAAAAAAGAGGAATAGTATTCTATTGGCATTTTGATTATTACCTTCAACACAGGTCTTCAAGCAGGGTCTTGAAGACGTGTATTGAAGATAATAGGGGCAGAGCACACAATGCCCCTATTAAAGCAGCTCTACTGGCTGCCGGTTATTACCCATAAAGCTCTATTTATATACTTTGGGTCCAACCTACCTTCAAGACAGCATCTCTTTCTATGAATCAGTGTGGGTGCTTAGATCTACCAGAGAGGCCCTCCTCTCAGTCCCACCTCTGTCCTAGTGTGGTTGGTGGGGACAAAAGAAGAGGGCCTTCTTGGTGGTGGCCCCCCATCTTTGGAATGCCCTCCCAAGGGAGATCAGGCTGGCCCCACTCTGCAAGCTTTCTGCACACAACTGAAGACATGGTTGTTTCAACAGGCCTTCAACCACAGTTAGATTTCTTTAATAAATATGTGAAGACCCACAGATTTCACCAAGCACTTTTCATGACTAAGATAGACTATTGTTGCTTTATATTGGCAGCTATTGCTGCGTTTTATTAATTTTAACCAAGGAGTTTTATGAACTGAGATATTTATGCTGGCTGTTACTGTTTCTGCATTTTTTTTTTGTATTTTATGTGTTGCACCTTTGAGTGCCTTGTAAGCTGCCCCGAGTCCCTCTGGGAGATAATGGCGGAGTATAAATAAAGTTGTTGCTGTTATTATTTTTAGAGTCTGGACAATTACTTTTTCAAAAGGAATTCATGATATAATCCACTATAAAAGCCTTAAAAAGCAACTTGTTAACATATACATGTGCACACACACACACACACAATACCAAAAAAAAATCAACACACTACCATTTATATGAAAAATAGCATTACTCTTAAAAGGAATATTGTTATGTTGTTATGTGTTTCTTATCCCCAAAGCATTGCAGGCCAATTTTTTAAAAAACCATCACCGGCTTCAGAGAATAATAGAAAGATTCAGATTGCTTATTAGAGAGCCATTTTGACTGTTTAAAAACATGTTTTCCATCCATCACTTACTCTAAATTCTTCTTTGATTTGGCTTGAATTGGTCTGAGGGTCCAGTTTATTCATTTCATAATATACAGATCTAACTTGAGAAGCTGGAACAGAGGTATCTCCGCACAGACAGGCTTCAAGTATTGCGTCATGTATGAATACATACTGTTCCTGAAGAAGCAAAGAAATACTAGCTCAACAGGAGTGTGTTAATAGCATTGGGAAAAATGACAGCCCTTAAGTGAAGTATCCTATGATTTTGTTTAAGAGTTCTAAATGCTACCTTCACCATTTTGCATGCCCTTGGAAACCTATTCATTATCACGGCACTGTACTTCAGTATAGTGCTGCTTTTGTAATCAGACAATGTGGTTGCTATAACCTTAGTATTTTTTCCTTGTATTTTGCTATGCACTGTCATTGTTACATAAATCATACCCAGTTCTATTTTTTTTCTTTATCTCATCCACATTCAATTTCTGCACATCCAATTAGAGCAGCTGCACCAAGTGTTAAGTTCTTTTGATTTCAATGGATCTCCACTATATGGGCCAATATTGGATATTGCTTTTTATTGCCTGGTTTTGTGTTTAAGAGGTACTGCTATGCTTTCAGCATGCACGTTGGGGCTAAAACATTTAGAAATGCAGGTGGGGGCTTAAGTGACTGAATACCTCTCTCTACAGAAATACTCCCACACACAGAAATCTGGTGTATCAAGGAGGAGATGTGCCCAGAAAACTTTCTGATAATGTCATATTTTCCATGTGGGAGAAAAGGTTCTGCACATCTGCATTTGCAATAAAAAGTAGCAGCGAGACAGCCTCACAACCCATCAGATCCAGGTTCATGCCAGGCTGGTAGAACAAAATAAATTTAAGCAGAACCCAGAAAGGTGTAAATTATTGCTCTATGCGGTAGCCAGAGAAGCGACTGTTCCAGAAGTAAGCACACTCTCCTTGAGTGTGTTTCCAGTCCCAGTTTTCACCTTGTCAATCCAAGTTACCCCCGGGAGATATAAATGTTGTTTTTGTTGTTTTTATTGTTATTTCTCCTTAGTAGTCTCTATGCCCATCCAACTCCATACCTTTTGTCATGTTGCTATCTATGTCTGGAACATCTGCCTTCTACTGAGTAAGCTGTTCTCATCTCCATTTTGAAATCTCTACTTTCAAATGTGCTGCAAAACTCTTATCAATCCAGCCACACTTTAACTGCTTCTCCTACAGCCATCTCTTAATTCCCTTGCTTCATACTTCCTACCCGTTTGTCAGTCTTTGATCTATCTCGTCTTCTTATCTATCAATCTAATTAATTAATTAATTAATTAATTAATGACATTTATGTCCTATCTCTTTTTCATTGAACCTCTAGACTCTGCACTTCCCTATAGGGACAAAGCTCATACAACCGAAAATAATTTAAATTCTGCCCTGTGGTAGCATAAGCATACATTTTTATTACACATAATATGAAACCTTGAACACGAGGAGAAGATTGGAATACCTCAGTTTGCACCATGTTAACTCTTCGAGAACGAAGCTCTCTGACACAGTTGTATATATCTACAACACCTTCTCTTTCTGCCATGTCTAGCATAATGTCAATGACAATGAAGCATCCTGTTCGGCCAGCCCCAGCACTGTTAAAAAACAAATTTGGAAGCATATTTGCAGTTGAATCTTAAAACATATTAGGAGCCCATGCTATGACTGCCCACACTAAACATCACGGTGTAGATCACAGCTTCTTAAACTGAGTGTCAACCCCAAATGAAGTCCCCTATGCTCAACATTGAGGTCATGAAAAAACTGGTAATACACAAATCTGTTAGCACCAAGATGCAATGTTTACAATTGACTCTGTAGGCAATGCTTCAGCTGTAGTCCACAAAAAGGACTTGCAAATGCTGATTTATTTTCAGTAAAGGTTGGATTTTTTACCTATTTTATATACCTATATATCTGGGGTCACAAGAAAAATGTCTCGGGTGGAAAGGGGTCACAAGTGGAAAAGGTTTAAGAAGCCCTGGTATAGATTCCCATCATGTAAAAATATTTTATACACTACTTGTAAAGTACAGCTCATAATTTCATGTTACAGATTACTGTAAACCAGTGGTCCTCAAATGTTTTAAGGAGAGGGCCAGTTCACGGACACTCAGGGAATTGGGGAACAAACGGACTATAGTTTGAAAAAACACGAACAAATTCATATGCACACTGAACATATCTTATTTGTAAAACAAAAAACCATGAAAGAACAATACAATATTTAAAAGGAAGAACAATTTTAACCAACATAAACATACCAGTATTTTAACGGGAAGCGTGAGCCTGCTTTTGGCTGAAGAGATAGTTAAGTTATTTAGGTTCGTTGTTATTGTTTGCCTTCAAGTTGTTTCAGACTTAGGGCGACCCTAAGTCTGATGTTTAGAGTGGGGGGACGTGTAAATAACCTTAAAGGGCCACATCCGGCCCACGGGCCTTAGTTTGAGGACCCCTGCTGTAAGCGGTAGTGATGTAAAATATGTGGTTCTTCATCAGACCTATATTGCTCAGCAAATAATTACAGATTATGTGGTCTACAGTTTAACATATAAGGTGCTAGATTTAGAGTGATCAAGAAAATAACATATCATGTAATGTTACTCATCTAGCTCAGCAGCTCTTTTCCATTCCACTCACCTGCAGTGTACAACCAATGGACCAGCATTTGGTGGACTTTTGGATTTGACTTGGCGAACAAATCCTAAAAGTCCTGTTGCATGGTAAGGCACACCATGATCCGGCCACCCTGTGAAGTGGAACTGTCTGATTTCTCGGATTTCATGGGCACCTCTCTGTATTTGTTGAATAAAAAGCAAGAGGAAAGTAACAGTAACTATTTTAAAACAAAAATGATGCAGATTTGAATCAACACTGTCCTCTCCAAATAAATAAATAAATAACTTTATTTATATTCCACCCTATCTCCATGAGGGGACTCAGGGCGGATTCCAGCAACAGAAGGCAAATATTCAGTGCCTATCCAGTAAAAACTACAAGTACAAATACATTGACAGACCACCGAAAACTCAAAATAAACAACATATGCCACTTTAAACTCACTTAAGTCAAAATTAAATGTATTTATTTATTTTATTTAGAACATTTATACCCCTTCCTTCTCAACTTCTGAGGAGGGACTCAGGATGGTTTCCAATAGGCAACAATTCGATGCCGACACAATATAAAACACCAATAAAATACAACAAATACATAAAAATGGTTAGAAATATACCTGCAGGTCAAAACAAATTAAACAACCAACTTAAAATTGACTTGAAGTTGCCCCCTTTGTCTTCTGTTTCTTTAACTAGGAAAAGTGTCCTTACCATTAGGGGGCAGTGGAATACTACCCACAAAGATGTTTAAGAAATGGGTTGATTTAAAGATGTGGCAACTGTAAGAATGACATAATTAGAACTGTTCTGAGAAACTATGTCTTTAAACACTCACCTTTTCTACTGCAAATGTTCGGATCACATATTCTGCCAGGAGCTCCGTTTCTATTAGGGTAACTTTAATGTCTTTATATATCTCTGTGTCATCTGGCCAGTATTTACAGCACTTGACCTTTTAGAAATTAAAAAAGGCACATATCTTTCAATTTGAAACATTCCTGAAAACTTCTGCAGCAATGCATGATATACAACCTAACTGCACATGAAATAGTCATGCTGCCCACGCAAGGAAATGGGCCATTCATTTTAAAGAACATGAACCATTTTCAAATCGAGTTCCTGAGAGTTGAAGGTGTTTTTTTAATTCAGTACAATATGAAAGAAATAAGTGGATGAATCACATTATGTCATTCATTGCTGAGTTAAAATAACCATTCATTTCCTGACTACTCCCCGCCTCAACTTTATAGAGTATCCAGAGGGAAAAAAGAAAACATCCTCCAACAGTTGAGAATTTTTACTTCACACTTTCCAGAAAAAAGCACACTAAAATAGGTTCCTTCTCATGGAAGGCAGAAAACAATGTTTCTGAGATAAAATGTTTAGAAACTCTAGTAAAAAAGGAGGGGGCACATATTTGAATAAAACATAGAGAAAGTATAAAATTCAGCAAATGCTATTGTGAGATTTAAATGACAAAATTCTGTTTCTGGGCCTAAAACAGTTACCCAGGGAGACGAGATAATAGCCACGGGCAATCCATGGTTCTAAATGGTTCTAAAGTACTTACAAAACTAGAGGGTGCTGGTGCTTTACTTCTAAAGTGTTGCAAAAGTTCTGGTGGTGAAAATTTCAAAACTCTAACAAAACTTTGAAAACTTCATTATAAATGGCAGTTCCTAATTGGTTCTGTCATAAAAATCGCCAATAACAAAATAGTAATTACATTTTGAAAGTTTTGTTACAGTCCTGAACTTTAGTTACACTTTAGAATCAAAGCACCAGTTTTAGCAACACTTTAGAAACAAAGCAGTAGCACCCTCTAGTTTTGTACTTTAGAACCATTTATAACCACGGATTGCCCATGCCTACTAGATAACCCATTAGTCCCCTACTGGGAAACTGGGTAGGCTGATTTAAGAAGCCCATCTTACATTCATACAAAAAATAGCTGAAGAAAACTTAGTCCTTCCCTTTTAAACCTAAAATAATTTAATCTCTTCTCAATTCTTGTTTTTTCTCTCACTACCTCCACCTCCACTGTTATGGGTTTACAAACGCACATTTTCCCAAAACTTGATGATATGATTTCAACATGAAAACTCTACACAGATTTTAATTCAAATGTGTTTTGCAAAACTAGTGCTCCATCATGTAGGAATTCAACAGGTCATTCGCTTTCTACTCCCACTGCCAGTGGATAAACATGAAACGGCCCTGCAAGAAACAAAACTGTCCAATATTCCAGTTCAGCCCTCCTTTCACATTCAGTGCAAGTGCATTATGGTCGAGAGACAAAAAGCTGTATGTAATATGCAAGTTATTTGTTTATATATACACCCACAACTGACTTTTCACTTTTCAACTCCTCCCATATTAGTGGTAATGATGGAAAGGTGATTCAATTGAGTTTAATGAAATTCCATGCAAAATGTCTGTAACTGGAATAGTTACTTTTTTTGGATATGAATGGCTGAAAGCGTCCTGTATAATGTGGCGTGTGTGTGTGTGTGTGTAAAAAAAACCCAGCCAAATCTCAGTTCAAAGCCACCTTGGGTGAACTGCAATGCCATCTGCATATTTACTGCATCCTGTTCACTATCACCTTCATATGGCCAAATTTATCTGAAAGCCAGACTCAAGGCTTTGGAAACATTAATAAGCACCATGACAACTTCATTTCCCCCCTCCTTTCTGTCTGGCATTTCATTGCCAATCCCTGAAACTCCCTCCAGAAGAATGTCAAATAACTCTGCAGTTGGGGAAATAAAAACCAGAAGAAACACATTTGGAAGCTCATTGTTTATCAGTCTGTCTGTTCTGCTTGATAATCCAGACCAACGTCATTGTTCAGATTTCCGACGCAAAGCTTTGCAGAGCTTTGTCTCCATTGCTGAGCTCTTATTTGCAACAGCAATTTCTCCCCAGCAGAGAATATCTTTTCCTGTGCATTGTTCAGGAGAAACAGAACTTCCCATTATTCCCCAATGGGGAGAAATCACCAAAGCCGGGTTTGTGACCCCCCATTTCCCTTTGCTTGTTGTTTCGTTTCTCCTGTAGGTAGCGTCGGATGCGTGCCAGGTCCAAGGCACATACGAAAAAGGAAACAGCTGCAGCACGAGGCCTCAATCAAGTTTCTAACTTTAGCACAATTCCTTTCGAGATGGGCACTTGCCATGTTCCACAGTGCTCAGTTTAGCTGGCTAAACAATTTAACTCAATTGCTTGTCTCAAAAAAGAAACGTACAACAGTGCAGTCTAGACACTCTGGCTTACTAATATGTTCCTTTTTAAAAAGACATTTCTCTACCCCCTCTGCAGACTTTGGGGGTGCACAGGCACAAGGCTTTTATAGCTTCATGCTGTGGGATTTGTCAATTCATATCACTAGAATCTTCAACATCTGCCTTGCAGAAGATAAGTAAGAGAAAAGCTAGCGGTTAACAATAACCCCTTCTTTCTACATGGGGATGTCAGCTTGTTTACAGAAGTAAGAACAGTTCTTTCCCTCTATTCCGCTTTGGTCAGACTACACCTGGAATGTGTCCAATTCTGGGCACCCCAATTGAAGGGAGATGTTGACAAGCTGGAATGTGTCCAGAGGAGGGCGACTAAAATGATCAAGAGTCTGGAAAACAAGCCCTGTGAGGAGCGGCTTAAAGAGCTGGGCATGTTTAGCCTGCAGAAGAGAAGGCTGAGAGGAGACATGATGAGGACCATGTATAAATATGTGAGGGGAAGTCACCGGGAGGAGGGAGCAAGCTTGTTTTCTGCTGCCCTGGAGACTAGGACTTCATCACACTAGAGAAAAACTCCACTTAAAATCCGGTTTCTGCCACCTGAAGAATTCTGGGGTTTGTAGCTCAGGAAGGAGCCTTTAAAGGCCTCACTAAACTACAAACCCCAGAATTCTGCAGGAGGCAGAAACCGGATTTTAAGTGGATTTTTTTCTCTAGTGTGATGAAGTGATAGGACGCGGAACAATGGCTTCAATCTACAGGAAAGGAGATTCCACCTGAACATTAAGAAGAACTTCCTAACTGTGAGAGCTTTTCAGCAGTGGAACTATCTGCTCCAGAGTGTGAGAGGCTCCTTCTTTGGAGGCTTTTAAACAGAGGCTGAATGGCCATCTGTCAGGGGATGATTTGAATGCGATTGACCTGCGTCTTGGCTGGGGTTGGATGGGATGGCCCACGAGGGCTCTTCCACCCCTATGATTCTAGTTGCTTGTAACTTATGTGCCACTCTCCTTACATCAGGTTAATTTATTTCTGAAAAACAAAACTTCCTAGGTTTATTAACTAGAACAAACCATCACTGTGATGGGTGAGGCGTAGTTGAAGCAGGGATTGGTATATTTTAATGATCAAAGAATACCAGTCTGTGCTCTGCATGCAAAAGCATGGCCCAGCTCAACAGTATATGCAGAAATTGCTATCTTACATTACAATTCACAGGATCTTCTGGCCATCATGGTCACTGGCAATGCTGGCTAGAGGCTTCTGGGAGCATTAGTCCAAACAACTTTCTCAAACTCTGTTAATAAGAACATAAGTAATATGCCCTGGGGTAATTTTCCTCTCCCTCATCAGGACTCAATTTACTTTTCAAAATTTAAAAATGTTACCCAAAACTTTGCATTTCATTTCTCAGCCAAAAAAAATATCCAAGATGTGAAGGGCATTTTCCTCATGTGCGTTTTTTAAGGACTATGTGCATACTGATGTAGAAACAAGAGAGAAGGGATTTATGATTCCATAGCCCGTTCATTATTATTGTCCCCGCAGACAGGTTTCGTCAGCTACAATGCTGCACATTTTCCACAGAAATGAATGTAAGTCACTACCAATAAAGGGGAAACTAAAACATGAACCCAAAGCATTGTGGTTGTAATCTTATTCACACTGATTAGGGAGGAAGGTCCAACAAATATAATGGGGGAATATTTCTGAGCAGAACTGAGTAGGATTACACTCTCAGTGAATTGTTTGGAGACAGACTGATCAAAGGTTGGACATGCAACATGTTAGACAACACTCTCTGAATCCCCAAGCCAGTATAGAATAATGGATAGGAATACCTTTTTCCTTAAAAATGAGATTATATGCCTTTGTAAAAAAATGTCCCCTTGGATACCAATGATTAGATTAATGTGCAGGATTCTAGACTGCAGCGGCTTTATCCACACTCATCTTCAAACAAGGAGCGTGCATTGGCTTCTAACTGGCAATTCAAAGCTCTGGTTTTAACATTTAGAGTCCTAAAATGGCCTGAGCTAATAAGCTGCTGCATCCCACCATGACTGCTAAAATTTTCAAGACTGCTATCTTAGCATTGGCTGGAATTCACAATTGTAGTTACAAATACATAACCCAGAGTTTTTGATTTGTAACTGATTTTTATTCATGACCCCTACATATTCAGTAGAGATGGGAATATGTAGGGATTGTAAAAGTTCCCCAATTCTGGCTTAGCAAGCACCATCCACTGCAAGTGACAGGAGTCTGTTCTCCTCTTGATTGCGACAGAGCAGGCTGATGTTTTTACCCTTCTCCCCTGAGGTATCTCTGGTGTGAGGCAGAATTTTTACAGGGATTCTGCCTTTTGCACTGGAGACTTTCCATAGGAGGGAATGGAAATGTCAGTCTCCTGTGTCTTGGTTGACAGAAGAACAGACCCCCATTGCTTGCAATGACTGATACTCAATGAGTTGAGATTTGGGGGAGAGAGCTGGGCCATCAAAACCTATTCAGCTAAGCAACTGATGTAGTTAAATAACTAAGTAGTGAATGCAGAATTCCTACTATTATCTCTATGTATGGTCACCAGGAACCTAATAGTGGGTACCCTGTTATAGAAGACCTTTCTTAAAGAACTGAAAACCTGAGCCCCACTTTTTAAATTACCTTTAAAACGTATGCATGTATATGAAATTATTGCTCATTTCCTGAG